TTTTAAATTACGCCGTGTCAACCATTGTTGATACGAAAAAGGTCATCAGGGCAGTTTCAAGATTGTTTCTTAAAGCAAATACGTCTTTGTCCGGGTGCATCTGAGCTTTATTGCAGCTTCAGGAGTCGCACACCGGCCAATCACGACTGCCACAAGCAAGCTTCTCAGCACCGCGTCAACAGACCGTTTCTCTCCTCGGCAGCTCTGCCTCCAAGGTAAAGCAGAAAACATATACATGAATCATGAGGCAGGGCTTCATGTGGTTGTAATACCAGCAAGGTCATTACTTTACATTACATGTCATTTAGCTGACGCTTTTATCCAAAGCGACTTACAATAAGTGCATTTAATCATAGGGATACAAACTCAGAAGAGCAAGAAAGTGCAATTTCCTCAAATAAGCCAATTTACAATTTGCTATAGCTAAGTGGCATTATAAGTACAATTTAAGTGCTACAATTTGTTAGTCTTTTAGTGGAGGTAGAGTCTGAAGAGGTGTGTCTTTGATGTGAAGGCTCTCTGTGGTGTCTTCAGAGAGCAAGGACAGCAAAGAGTCGTGATCTAGTCGAGTGTTTTGCTCTCGGTGAGGGAGGAACAAGCAGTTTTGCAGATGCTCAGAGGTCAGAGCACAAAGTACTAACTCCATTACAGTTTGATCCCGCTGATGCAGATTAGGTCTGTCCCTTCTCATGCCGCCCTCCTGTAACTGCAGCGCCGATCATATCAGCACAGCGAAAAATGTCTATTTCTGCAACCGTGTGGTGAGACCGCGATTAATCTTCCTCTAAAGAAGCGGCTGCACCAAATATTGGCCAAGAGGTGCGATGAGGCAGAAGTCGCTCTCTTTCTCACACACCCACACCCACACACACCCACACCCCCACACCCACACACACACACACACACACACCCGTCACAGCCCATCTGCTGTACAGAATTCACACCTGATCCCTAAATCGGAGAGACGATACGACAGGGTCTGCGCGCACACAATGAGTCTACATTCTGTAGACGGCAAACATCCACAACACTGAGCCGACACCTGGACACACTAACACACACACACCTGGACAAGATCTCTGCGCCACCAATTAGCCTCCCTCTCTCTCCATCGGAGCGCCGTGTGAAGCGCCGTGTAATTACAGGGGCAAAGGACGCGTTTCATTGCAACGTAGAAAAAAATAAATAAAAGATAATAACGTCCGAATGAGCAAGAGAAAGTCTTCAGCCATCAGACACCGACTGGCCGCTCAACGTAAGACGGAGGCGGACTTAAAAGCTTGAATCCAACAACACAGTTCTTACTGTAAAAGCACTTTGCGAGTCACACAAGTGACGTACGGACATCTGACAAAATCACAAGGGCCGGGAGGAGTTGAATCACCCGGACCTCCTCAGCACATCCTCTGAGAAATCGCTTAAGACAGCAGTTTTCTGATGACAGGCTTTTCACGGCGCGCAGAGCCCTCCCCAACACAGCGAGGTCCTAGGTTAGAAATGCAGCTGGACGCCTCACCTCACGGCCCATAAATACAGCTGGGAGCGCTGACGCCCACGGCGGCCCAGCGTTTAGTTCAGTGGACGTCCACCCGAAGGCCATTTCACTCTGCTCCCGTTCTCTTTTTGTGACGACTGGATGTACATCACAATGCGCGACTGGTCACCCTCTTAAAACATGCGTCGACCCTCATCCATGTCAGAACTAGGGATGAATTCAGAGGAGTTCAAACTCTCTGCTGTTGCTCCGAGACCTTAAACCAGCAACGTCAGTCGGGTCCAGCCACAAAGTAAGAGCAGATCTCACATATGCTCATGATTCAAAAAACAGATGCGGACAGGATTTGTTCATATCGGTGTTATTTACGGAGAAAATCCTGCCCGTAGAACAAGCCCACTAATCTACAGCACTACAGCCATCTTCATACAGTCTAACCCCCATAATCTGCCTCAACACTTGGACACTTCTGAACACAGACTGAGATTAGCAGCCTATCAGAGATTTACAGAGCAGCACATGAAAGCTGCGCCACAATAAGCTGCTCAAACCTTCCCAGGTCGTTTTAGAGGAGGAGCCCGACGTCTCACAGAAACCAGTCCTCTCAGGAAGTCAACCAACTCGTGAAGACGGCTAACGATCCCGGACGCCCACGTGCGTCTCATGAAAGAGTCCCGTCGTCCTCCTCTCAGCCGGTCCTGATGAGCTCAGGTGACTGCTGCTGGTTAACTGAAGTTACACCTCCACCTTCCCGGAGTGGCCTGCTCGTCCACTCCTTTGTGCGCAATCTCCACATCAACAGCCTTGAACGCATAAAAAGGAAAACGACCTGTAGCTTTGGACGGTTACGAAGACAATTTTAAGAGTAACTAAAAAGCAGAAGTGAAAGCCTCATGAGGAGTTGAGGGAAGCTGAACTCTGAGATGAGGAAATAATATTTGGAATTTAAAAACTAGCATAAAAGCCAGATATTTTCCTTCATAGCAGAAGCCAAGTAATGATAATATGCTGGATGTGAAAAGGGGGTTTGCTGAAATCCACCACATCAATTTAGGCGACAAAGGGTGGCAATGGGTCAATAGTAAAAACAATCTTTAATGCTCATTATCCCCCATTTGGTTTCCATCAATATAAATTATTAACAGACCTTCAAACCTTTTAATTTTTAAACCTTTTAATTTGAAGTTGACCATTTCTGACCTCATTCTTACGACAGACAACATCCTCTCGTGGTTGAATCATTGAGTTTTCTGTGCAGCCTCACAGCTGCAGTGTTTTCCAATTGAAAAGCTGCTTCACTCTGAGATGAACACTTTGCACATCGGTCTTTTAGACAGAACTTCTGTGGACATTATAGAAATGTGCTCATGGAGCATAAAACTGCTTCCTTTTCTGTTCTGGAATCGGATGTCCCGCTTCCCCTCAACGCTGTACAGTCAGTCACACACTCACCCTATAAACACTCAGATTATACATTCCAGGGGCTTCTGCTTTGCTCCGTATTAATTGAACTAATGTGAACATTAAAATTAAATCAGTACGCCTCACTGGGATTTGTGTTACGCTCCATCAGATTGAGCAGACCTCCTACTGCACACTATTCCACATAACTCACCTCTCATCAGAGCAGTCAATCTTTGATTAGTTACTTCTGTTACTGGGTCATCGCTGGCAGCAATTATGCATTTCATCAATAGGTATTTTTAGAACAGCGGCAAGTCCTCGCCGCTATTTTGTGGCTGAACTGACAGCGCTTAGCTCGAAGAGACGGTAGCGTTTTGGGGAAGAAACTACTCACTTTTGTATAATATTTTACCTGCGTCTCTTAAAAGATGACTTGTGTTTTTTTTCCTGTTAGGAGCTCAGCAAACATTACCCAACTAATATTTTCTTACACAAACGCAACGCTGTTGGTTGTCATGGTGACAACAGCATTACACATTGTTTCTCCCCACAAAGCGGGCAGCGGAGGCCAATTCAGTGTACAAGTCTGCTCATATGGAGGTCAGCCAAATAAATGAATGCAACCACCCTATAAATATGGGTGGGAACAAATCTTGTTCTCTTTGCTTTTTGGGACGATAGTGAACACCACAAGTGGAAAACAAGGGAACGCGGACGCGGAAAATGGCCGCAGGGCTGCAGTTTGGTGGTTTGTCATTGTAGAATAAAAGTGGCACATGTACATAGAAAGCTGCTCTCCTACTCACCTGTACTCTGCCTGCACACACAGAGAGTGTAATTACATTGTGTTTGCGTAACGGCAAATCTGTTGGGTTTGTGGGCCTTGGCTAAACATTAGCATATTCATTCATTCATCCTGAGGGAGTGGGTGGTGACATGTATAGTTCACTCCCTAGCAAAGAAAAGGATAAATAATTTAACTTTAGTTTTATATAATGTGTCATTCCAGCTGCACACCCAAAAGATTAAAAAAATTTCGAGGTCACACACACACACACACACACTTCTTGAGCGGCCGCACACACAAACAACACACCACACAACACTTTTCTGATGCAATGTCACTATAACCTGGAGAGGCTTTTCCCCCTCGTTTCGCAGCACAGGGACAAATTATAAATTACCCTCAATCATGTGATGTGAAGGTGAATGCGGAACATTTGGGTCACTGCCAGTGTTCAATTCAAAGCACTGAGGTGTTTTTCGTTCTTTTTTGATTGGTCAGAAAGGAAATTGCTTCGGATCAAAACCTACATGAGGAGCGAAGCACTGCAGCTGTGGATGTGGAAGGGCAGTCATGTGGAACCATGTGAAACACATTGGCACTCCTAAAATGAACTTTTTGTTGCCTGAACAACAGCAGCAGGCTTGTTCTATCATGACCCCAGAATGGCACAGACCAATAAATGCATGATCAACAATGAACGCCATAACAGGATGCAGCGGGTTGGAATGACACATTTAGTCATTAACATGACATTCAGGTGACTTTCTGTGGACGGCTGCTGATGTCGAATGGACTGCGTGAAGCTGTTAAACAAAAGCTAAAAGTACCGAGGTAACAAGTAACCAGCTCCTCAATGAGTCCAGGGCCTGTTCTCACGCTCAGCGTGGAGAACCACGATTTTCTTGCATCACTCAATGGCACCATCCAGATGAGCGGTTGACACACACACGCACACAAACTCTGCAGCATGCGTTCATTTTGCATCCGAATGTCAATGAAGCCAATCGGTAGTGTGCAGCCCAAAGAGCCGAGGTGTTGTTGAACGAGCTTCCCGTGGTGATGATCCCCGGCCGTGCTGCTGGTAAAGTCACCCACACAAAGGATTCCCTCGAACACATTTCATCCGCGGGGCTCGATCCGAAGACAAATCCCCAAACATGCAACCGTTTTGGGGGTTGTTGTTTTTTTTTCCCCCCCTGGCAAACATCGTGCACGCACATCCTTCCCCACCGCGCGGCTCCGTCTCCTGCACGAAACGCGGGTCCGTGCGTGCGCGTGTGGAAACGCCGCCGTGGAGCGAAACAAAGCTTTTACCTCAAAAGCCGCGTCGGTCCTCGCCGGATGCCGCCGCCGCCGTCCGGCGGTCCAGTTCGGTCCAGCTCGGCTCGTTGCAGCACGGCGGGCGCGCGGGTCGGCTCGCCTCTGCCCTCCCGATCACGCAGGAGACATCCACTACTGCGCCGGGCAGAGCCGAGGGGCGGTGTGTGGTCTGTCACCCTCGCTCGATGGCCTCTTTCCTCGCATCCGACATCCACTCGGGGGGGAGGAGGCGGAGGAGAGGGGGCGGGGCGGGGGGGGGGCGGAGTCAGACGGCACTGGTTTTCCTGTTGGCCTTGAAGGGAAGGAAAGGAGGGGAGGGGAGAGGGAGCGAAGAAGGTGAGGAAGGAAAGGTAGACGGTGGGATTGAATTTGATACGCAGCGGGCACGCGGGAAACGGGAAGGACGGCATATTTATTTATGTATTATTATGAATGCTTGATAAGTGGCCAGCAGGTCTGTGGCATTGGGTGAGGAGAAAGGAACGTCTAAGGGAAACAGGCTACTTGCGGTCTTATGTGCAAAATGGGGCAATTCTAACAACCTTAGGAGAAATGTAATAAAAGCAATTACTTTAACATTATAATTTGTTTTTTTATTATTTATCTTGCAACACCCTTTGACTGATCCGGTGACCCCTGCAGAGAAGCTGGCCAGGGTCAAGAACTGCTACTTAACTGATGAGCAAAATAGGGAATCTGAACAATTTGAAGGATTCACTGTCCCAACCATCAAGTAAATAAATAAAGTCAGGGGTAAATTTGTGTTTAATTTTGTTTCCCCCAGACCTTGGGTCAATGCAGGTGATGGTTTTGTTTTTTGAAGCATTTATGCTAAGCTAACCAGTTCTGCCAGCTGTAGGTTACAATTTCTTTTCATAAGAAAGTAAATTGGTAGCCCCATTAGATGTTGATCTTAGTGCACAAAAAATGGAAATCGTTGATTTTTTTGATGACAACTGAGACCATGTGTGGTAATAAAGATGAATATTATGTGTCAAAGTGTGTGTGAGATAGCACAAGTATGAATTAGTTGTAACCCAAAAGTGATTTCTCATTGAGGTGGTGTGTATGCGCCACAGTAGTTGACAACTCAAATCAAATCAATTTAAAATACAATTTATTCCACTCAAAAACAGTCCAACTCAATATGAAAACAATGTCTAAAAGTAGTCTGAGATTTTGCAATACTGTAAAACCCCAGTAAAAGATGCATCTCCATTTAAAAAGACAAAATTAAAAAAGACGCCACATTGGGCCAGCACAGACAAAGCGAACGTGGCTAATCATGCCACCAGGACAATTTGTTTACCAATGTATTTAAAAGTCAAATGACAGACGGATTTCTAAAAGCTTTTTAAAACCACTGGTCCCAATTCTTTGGTCACTGTCCTCCTGTCCTCCTGTGCTGCTCCAACTGCGGCACCCCCCTGCGTCACACCAGGCTCTTTAAAGAGACGGAGTGGCTCACCTGCCGTCAATTCCGGGACGCACCTGTTGACCCTAATGAGACGCACCATTAAACAGAACAAATAAATCCGCGTTTGCAATAATACACACACAGATATTCAAAACATGCAAACAATAAAAATGAATAATAAAAATGGAAGCAAAAGCATACAGACACAAAAATCTAAAAATTACTGTATAATTAAAAGAAAGTGGTGTCTAACGGTTACATAGTTTGTTCTAGATTAATTTATTCATTTGGGCTTCATCAGATGCAGGCACTTCTCGCTGTATGCTGCAATTACTGCTGCACAGCCAAATGTGCCAATGCATAATAAATCACAACACTAAGAGATCTAACCAGCTGTCCGTGAACCGTAAGAACGACCGGAAAATAAACATGCACCGTGTTGCACTAACATGCAGTTGAAATGAGGCACAATGGCAGAAATCTTGATCCCAAAACGTTCGCAATAAACAACCACACACACATTCAAATATTTAGGGGGATTACGGTGTATGCAAACTCAAACTGCCGCCACAAAATAATGCAACCAGAGGCACCGACTCTGTTGCACACTTGCTGATCTCTTCAAAGGGAAGCTCCATTGTGGGGCATTTGGAGGCAGATGACTCACACAAACTCACTGGTGAGCTCAGAGACTGTGACAGAAATATGGAGAGTTTGAGTGGGCTCTGGGAATTGTGTTTCTGGCCCAGAGCAATATGTTAAGACGTTCATGCCAAAGTGTCTCCTACAGTCGTCCCAGCCGCTCCCCAGCAGGTCAGCAGCTCTTTGTTGAACACATGACTCAGGCTCTTATCGGCCTCCTCCAGGTGTCCGTCAGTCAGCCAAACTTCATTATACAGCGGCCTTTGTAGTGCACGACAAAGAAATAGAATCTCCCATTGAAGGGAGAGGAAGAGGTGAAAGTGTACGTGCGTTATGACAGAACAGGAGCGCACGTGTGCGCGCGTGCCTGAAAGCGTATTTCATTTTTTTTTTATCCTGCCCAGCTGCAGCACTTTTCAAACCCAAAATACCTGCGATCAAAAGGACCAATCAACCCTTTGCTATGTCCCTGACTATCCAGCTGTCAAGAATACCATTCTAGCATAGAGCCTACGGTGTCAGTGAAAGAACATTTCTGAATTCATAACAGTTGGTCCTTGATTTCAGAGAAAAGCAGCCTTTCATTTTGAGTCCAAAACCTTGGATTTTTCCATCTGAAATGACAAGTGTCATCTCCTGCTTGCTATAAGATGGTTAAAAACTCCATTTCCTGCAGACCCGTAGCAAAACTTGTAAAAGGCTATTAAAGGGATAGATTTCATGAGGTGGTGTTGTATGAGGCACTTATTCATAGTCTGTGTATTACCTGCAATGGTAGGCGGTCTGCACGCCCCCAGTTCAGAGAAACAAACAGGACAACCAGCACAAGAGCAAAGAAATGTACCGGCAAGATAAAACGTGTTCTAGCCACCCAGAACAGGCCCAAAATAAAATAATTCATTCATGTTTAAGAGTACACAGTATTTAGTATTGCCGTTTTTTTCCGACAGGCAACAAACGGTTTTGAAGCCATCCCTTACGTCCTCTCTGCTGTTTGCTGTGCTTTAAAATCAAAGCACAGATCCCATCATAACGCTCATCATCACTACCTGCGTAATCGTCATTAAGACCCATAACTGTGTCATTTAGATGAATCCGTCAAAGCTCTCCGCTGAAATCATATTTGAACATCTGGCCGTCTCTCCGATCGAGCCCACTTTACTCTTCCCCTCAACTAATTGCGGCCATTAGAAATCTGTGAGAGCGTGACGGTCTCCATAGTGATACGCTGATGTGCTCTGCTGTTTAAACGTCCTGGTCATTTCATGCCATCTGTTTCCCCTGATTGCTAAAGCTCGACTGATAAATGGGAATTATGTGAGTCAACACATCGCGGTAGCCTCGCCGACTTAATGGGCTTGCTCGCGTCAACAAAATGCTGGTGGAGGTGTTTGGGGAAGGGCTGACAGATTGAAGGATGCAGCCTCTGAGAGCATTTGATCAGGTTTGCAGTCGATCCTCACACACTGCAGAGAGAAAACTAAACAAAGCACAGCTTGAGCTTTTCGTCATAGACAGGCTGAAGCGCCACTACATTACATTACAAGCGAGTGAACCAGCTGGCATTTGCATGGCTGAGGTTGGGTGTAAAGTTTCACCACGTCTCGGGTGTACAATGGGCCTGAACCATGTGCGAGTTGAGCAGCCTGCACTTACATCGCCTCCCGGGTCGCCAGCAAATGTGTTCTCCTAATGTTGTGGCGGATAAACCTGCAGAAGCTAAATGTTGCAGCGATGTTAGCAACTAGAGAGGTAAATGATCCTTCAGCATCCCACCTTGCCGGGCCCCGAGCCGGGCACAGAGTCCTGGATGCTAATAGGGATGAGATGAACGGGAGAGGACTTCGCTTGAAATCTTGTCACGTTGCGAGATGCCGGCCTGACATTCAGATATTCATTCGGCCACGTGGGTTTCAGTTAAAGGAAAAGACGGAATTAGTCGAAAATATGATATGAGAATATTTTTGCACTCTGCTCCTCATATGGATTATGCTCTGAGGAACAATGCAACACACCTTAATTGGATGAAAAGTACTGAAATGTCAACACTGGAATCTATTACTGGGACCCCACAACTTATCAAATACAGGTACAGACAAACATAAAAAGCTTTCTTGGATTAATTTACTCCGACGGTAATATAGACTTGTGGCCGTCTGCCTTCTGATCTCCAGTTCACTGTCTTTGTTCCACATTTATTTGTTCCTCCTGAATATTGCATGTGCCTTTTCCACATTTCTTCAATGTTCGACAGCGATGAATGTACTGAACACCCGATGGGGGATTTGTATGGAAAAATAGTGTTACCATTACCGGACACCTCTGCATGCACTCCGCATGTAAGAAAGAGCTGGAGCTCCATTATAGAGCCATTATCCCGTGTTTGGACCATTGTCTCCAGCTGACAACCATTGTTATCATGTAATAAAACACTTTCTTTTCAGGGGAAAATCAGCCATGTTTTATAAATCAACCTCTTCCAGTCAGACGTCCGAGGCAATTCAATCACTCGGGTGGCGGCCACAACTTGATTATATCTAATGCAGCTTTTGAAATTTTCAGGTTACCGTTGTTGTGATGCAACAGACAGCCTTCATTCTCGTAAAGGAAAAATATTCTGTAATATTCTGTCATTTGGATGTAAAGGCTGTTTACATGTTTTTATGAATCATTAGAATGATTTGAATACTTTGACGTGTTTTTCTTTTGCTGCTCTTCTCGTGACTGATTTCCCTCTTCTGGCTACTTGACCCCAAAAACGTGAAATACTAGATATAGACATGGATTGTTGTATGTGATTACCAGTAAGTAAAATAATGATGCTTTTAAATTGCATCCAGCAGGGGTTTGGCTTGAGATGGGAAATTATTAGGAGGACGTGGAAGGGACTCATCACCAAACTAGACTGGATTTAAAAAAAACAGAACAATCTGTTCTTGTTGTACATTTTGACATCATAAGAAACAAGGGTTTGGGAATATAGTCTCCTGAATGGACAGAGCAGAAAACACTGCCATCGCATTTCTGGAAAATGTAGCTGTTGGAAAACAAGGATGATAATAAGCCTGGTCTGGAGGTTACGTGGAAGTTCATTAAAAATATTCCTTATGGCCTTCTTTCAGTCGTTTTAGGATTCATAATGCTGC